TCGAGATTCGTTGCCACAAAAATGCGTTCCGCACTTTGGGGCCATAAGTTCAGTATGAAAGATACGGTTAAATCACAAAGTCAGTCTGACTTGAGATGACGGAGGGTGCTGTTGAAAAACTACCTTTTCTATATTCTGGTTCCGAGCGTGACGATAAAAGTTCACTATTCAGTCAGGCAAGACAATCCAACAGTTTGCGGTGGATGCTGTTGAATAGTTGTCTTTCCGCTAGTCTATCAGTTTAAAATTAGCATAGATATAGCCTTTGTGTAAATTTGCGCTAATACCTGAAAACAAACCCTCTAGTTCATAATTTCATAACAAATGACGGCAGATAGCTCTTTTGTAGCTTTGCTCGATAATATGAAACAAACTAATAAATAGATTCATTCACATGGTACTTTGTTAAGTGGCTCATGTATAAAAACTCAATTACGGAGCTCATCCATATTTTATAACTAATTTAGCTGGATAATTTGTATTGTACTGTGTGCTAATTTTCTTAAGCAGTTATACAAATGGCGTAATACACACACTTATACACACATGCGTACTAAATTACTAAAGAAGTGAAAGACTTTCACCAAGTAGCAACAGGCCCATTCTTATTGTATTTGCATGTAAATGCCATAGTGAACTTTTTTACATTTCAATGTGCCTAATACTATCCATATCTTCTCTGGGTAATGTTTTGTAAAAGAGAATCGCACTGGATACGCTGATGTGGAATATTGGCCCGGCCACCAAAGTTAATCCATCAAACAGGACTTCTATGCGAGTTTAAAGCTACAAGCTAGTAATCCACAGATATTTTCATGTTGTTAAATAGAATCCATAAATTTATAGACTTGGCTCTGGTAATGCTTTAAATGTCGAAATTGGGGTGAAGAACAACGTAAGACTATGCTAGTTTTTGTCTTTTCTTTTGCAGCAACCTTGAGAATGTGTAAGTTGTTAAAGTAGCGCTCCACCTGCGAAAAATGGTGGAGCCTGTATGATGGTTTGGACTTTTTTTGATTGGATTAGAATTGATTTATCGGTAAATATTAAGGTTGCCAAGAATACCTCTAAACAGTGCTGTAACGACAAAAGTTTATGGAGGAGACTGTACATCTTTCATTATGATAATACGCCATCCTATAAAACTACCAAATATGCAGCATTCCTCCGTGACAAATAATCATTTCAATTTTCCTATATAAACCAAATTTAATAACTATGAGACTTTTTGGAACACCACGTTTGGTAAAAGTCCTGAAATGTCACTACATTTGAAGGTGTTTTGCAATGACAGTCTATTCCACTTGATGTGTTCCAAAAGTTAGTGGTAACTATTATTACTAGAATCCAATAATCGGATAGATACCAACGTTAATTCAAGGCAGTGAAACCCAACGACCTCTTTACAGAGTATGCTTTAAATATTTTTGTTGACATCCCAAACTCAAACGCATATGACACAACACAGTTTAAACCTTCCCAAAATATACGTTTATCCAGAAAGCTTAGTTTCTTATCGACCCAGCCAAATTGGTTGAGCTGTGAGTTGGGTAATGGGAATTGATGCACACACACACGTCTGGAACCATAAGTGATTTGCAACCTTTTCTTAATTTCAGATACGTGACTAATAATGGCGTTGGCAAAGCATCAGAAGGTCGAGTTAATCCCTCTGTTAATTCAAACTTGTTTCAAATTACAAGGACAGCATGTGAAACACATTCTGTAAAATTCGTTGAAGTGCTTATGGTTCCAGACTTTTTGGACACCCTGTAGAATAAAATAGAATACAGCATGCTAATAATGTTCTAGCACCATCTTATGAGCAAAACGTGAACTACAATATTTTAAATTCGCGTTTTATTCGATGCGTTTTTAACACCGGCCGCTCGTATTACGATATTCGGAAACCATGCGGAGTTGAGAAATCAGGAAAGACAATTATTTTTAGAAGCAGAAACTTAAGCTTAAAATTCGAGCAATGGAAAAAATAACGATTAATTTCTGTCGTTATATATATACATATATAATATTGTGAAAATATTACCGAACATTTTATATCGTATTTTACAGTCACTGTTAATTCAATAACCAGTTTTTGTAATCTTCAGAAAATGAGACAGGTTGTATTTGAATCTGTTTTGTAAGTATTTTTTTTCTGTTGTTCAAATTTACACAGAAGAAGAAAAGTGGCGAAAAAGAAAACTCGGAATAACTTTTCGATCCCTACTGATGGGCCATATTTTTTTACTGTAAACACTGCCCTGAAATCTCTTTGTTGAAAGCGCCGATCCGAATTAGGTTTTTTTTTTTTTTTTTTTTTGCAAATAAGTATCCTTGATGTTTGAAATAATGCAATTGAAAATACATATTAAATCAAAGGCACGAACGCATACGTTATTTATAAGATATTGCTTTCGTCAATACCATTTTTACCACTACCTTATATTGCACAGTGGTTATTCTGCAGACTTATAACGCTAGACATATGTTTTCGTCTCCCGCGGTGGGTTCAGTAGCCCTTTGTTTGTTTGTTTGTTTTTTAATTATGCACAAAGCTCCACAAGGGCTATCTGTGCTCTGCCCACCACGGGTATCGAAACCCGGTTTCTAGCGTTGTAAGTCTGCAGACATACCGCTGTGCCACTGGGGGGCGTAGCCCTTTGTGTAGCTTGGTGCTTAAAAATAAACAAATAACTTTCATTGTTTTCGTAATGTATTCTATTCGAACTGTGAAGTCAATTTAATAGATACAGATTACGTATCGACGGTTGTCGAAATAACTGTAATAAACTGACACACAAAAAATGTTAGTTTAGATAGACATGCTCTCTAAAAAAAAATAAAGCTTATTTTATGAAATATAGTTCGACTTTTTAAAGCAATGTTGCGACAAACTCAAATTGTTGCCGTTGTTTTGGTGTTGGCTATATATATAAAAGTAGAAATACCTTTTATGTGGTTCAACAGATGTAAATCAAATATAGAAATTTCATATTTCATTTACATACTCTACTTACAATATATTTCAACAGATGGCGCAAGCCTGGCAAAATTATATTCATTTAAGAAATAATTAAAACCACGCAAATGGTGTCGTTTTCTATTGCTGTTGGCAGTTTTATTTACTTTGGAGTGACATCTAGCTATATAAAAGGTAACGTCAACATTATTGAAATCCACCTTTAAAATAACCTGAAATCTATGTAATTTTAAACTTTACCTGTTATAGTGTAAATAGTATTACAATTCAAAATACGCAACTGCTTCACAATAACTTCATCACAAGGACATTATTTACAAATAATTAACTACTAGATTACTTAATACAAAAATGATGTATACACCTTAAATAAAGGCTTTCGACGTCCTTCACACATCTCGGAATCAGAACGAATATAAACCTTTTCTCACGTTTAGCAATGTATATAAACTCCAAAAACATTGTTTTGTCTTATTATTAATTTTTATCTAAACTTTGTGTAGCAACTGAATCACTATTTTCAGCCGCGGCATGGCGGCTCATAGAATGGGTCCTAGTTTTTCAAGTACAAACTTTTAGCTCATAGCTCTGTCATCTCTTCATCGATTTGAGATACAATTAAAGTTTTGGACTCAGGAGGTCAAATTAATTCGATTGATGTATTTGACTACGCTCAAGGTCTCATAGAATAATGTACTCTAATCCTGCCTCAAAGAATTTCAATTTGAGGGTAGACTGGTAGAGATTCGGATGAGTAATAAAATTGAATCGGGTATTTTTGAATTTCGCGCAAAGCTACACCAGGGCTATCTGCGCTAGCCGTCCCTAATTTAGCAGTGTAAGAATAGAGGGAAGGCAGCTAGTCATCACCACCCACCGCCAATTCTTGGGCTACTCTTTTACCAACAAATAGAGGGATTGATCGTAAAATTATAACGCCCCCACGGCTGAAAGGGCGAGCATATTTGGTGGGACGGGGATTCGAACCCGCGACCCTCAGATTGTGAGTCGAGCGCCTTAACCACCTGGCCATGCCGGGCCTACAAATATAGTAAAGAAAAATGTTTAATAAATTAATTTACTATAATCCTTCCTAAAATAAGTGCCGCGACTATTGCGGATTCCCTCTTGTTATATTTGTTTTGTTTAGCACAGAGTTACACAATGGGTTCTGTGCTCTGCCTATTGCGGGTATCGAAACCTACGTTTTAGCATTACAAGTTCTCAGAGGAAGTCTGTCGTGAAGTGGAGAGGTATTTAATTTGGTTTATTTGTTTGTTTGTTGATTCCAATTTTGCCCCCCCCCCCAGTGGCACAGCGGTATGTCTGCGAACTTACAACGCTAGAAACCGAGTTTCGATACCCGTGGTGGGTAGAGCACAGATAGCCCTTTGTGTAGCTTTGTGCTTAATTACAAACAACAACAACGATTCCAATTTTAATGAAATTCTTTCTTTTAACTAAAATTGTAAGCCATTTATTTATGAAATAAACCCATTCATTTTCGCAAATTTACTTAAAATAGGTTACTTAAAAACTGGTCAGTTAAGAAATCACTTGTTTATTCCATTCGGAAATTTAAACAAGTATTACTTTTTTTGCCCTTTTTGATACCCCAAAACGAAATTTAGTGTTTCGTCTCATTCTTTATTTGTTGTTGTTTGTTTGTTTGTTATTTGCTTACAACTTAGCTATATAGATATTATAAAAGAAAGGGGCTTACCTTTTATCCATCCTTACAAATGTAAGCTTATCACAACTAAATATTAAACACTCTGCAAAAGTAATGCTAATGTTATTACAGTTTTGAAGCTACTATTGAAATGTATGCATAAAGTTCGAAATATCGATTACTAATATGCATGTTTGTTTTTTTTATATTTCAAGCGTGAAGAGCAATTCAGTTAATGGTACTTTAGAGTTAAGATGAAACACCTTTTTCAATCATTCTTCGGTATTTTTATCTGTTATATGGAAACTGAAAATCAATTTTTTAAAGAATTTATCAACCATAATGTATACTATTATTTTTTATATTAGCTCAATGTTGGAAAATATGCGTTATTACATGGTCTGTAAAACATATATACAAAATAGACAACAATCAAATTATGTACCAAACCAGTTTGTGAGTAAATTTAAACGATACAAAAACATAATATCTCAGTTGTGTCTTCAATAACTTGAAGAAGTTAAATTATCAATTGATTGAACATACATTTACGCTCTTCTTTTCGTCGCTCATACACAAATAATCTTTAACTGGTGGTCTTAAAGTTTATTATATTTGCCAATAGAGTGCAGCACATTCATCTTATCAGCTTCACGCCTTGGCTTGACTGAAAACATTGGCTTTTTCTCGGAATGCAGCTTTGCGTTGTTTCCGCTGTTCTTCCTCTTGACGTCGTTCTTCCTGCTCTGAACGAATTTCCTCTTCAAACTGATTATGTTTCTTTTGTTGTTCGATCTATGAAACAGGAAGAATCAGTTAATATATGAAGAAACTTAGGCAGTGTACAAATTTATTTTTCCTCGACAAAAATGTTAACTCCAGCACTAAGAAAACATTCTTAGGATTTTTTCATTCACATTTATTTTTAAAACTTAACATGTCACTAAGTAACTTGTGTAACTTAGGTATTTCTATGGCTGCAAAGATTCGTAGGTAGACATTAAATATAATTAATCCATGATTTCTCTTCAGGAGAGTAAAAATCTAAAACGACTTTGTTGTTTACTCTTGATATATAACTAATGAGCCTGTGACAAACTTCGTAGGTAGACATTAAATATAATTAATCCATGATTTCTCTTCAGGAGAGTAAAAATCTAAAACAACTTTGTTGTTTACTCTTGATATATAACTAATGAGCCTGTGACCAACATTTATAGGGCCGCTATAATACAAATTTAATTGTCTTTAACCAAGTTAGAACGGTAATTAGTAGGCCTAGATGTTTATGTGATCTAACGTAAATTAATGCCAAATTTGGGGTCCGTTTCGGAGAATTCCAATAAAAGTGTTTTCGCAAAATACTAGAGTTCACTAAGGGGTTGGGTGAAAAGTTTTACCTTTGTGCAAACCTTAATGTTGAGACGATTCGTTTGGCACTATTTCGAAGCTGGTGAGTTCAGCAGTTTAGGAGAAGTGGATTTTCGGGAAATTCCCAGATACCCCAAGGAGTGGGGTGAAAACTTCGACATTTGCGTAAACTTCAGGACATAGACGATTCGTTTGGTACCACTTAGAAGTCAGTGCGACCAGTGGCTTAGCAGAAGTTACCTGGCACACAGACTTTGAATCTTATTATATAGTTTAATCAAGCAAAAAAAAAAAAAAAAAATGCAAATCTAGCCAAGATTTTTACTTTTTTAACCAAAAGACAAATTTATAGAGAACAGTCGTTACATGACCTACTTTAGCTTCAAAGAAGTTTCTTGCTCCATCAACTCCTGCTTGATCTACATCAATCTCGGTCAACTTGGCCAACTGATTAAGTCCACTATCAGCGGCCAGATCCCCAGTCTGAGCTTTTCGGAAAATCAGTAGAAACTAGAAAACAACTAACATGTTTGTTATACACTTCTAAAAAATTTAAAGAAGAACAGCTCGAAGATTATAATCTATTTAGAGCTCTTTTATTTTAAAATTATGAAATCAACAAGATCTCCGACGGTTGTCTGTAAAAATAAAATAAATAAACGAAATAAATATAAGAGCTAACACAATGTGAAGGAGGAATTCTTGTTTGTTAAGTGTTACCTAATTTCGTTAAACCTTAATCACATTTTGTTAATCATAAAATAAGTTTCAAAACTGTTCTTTGGTTCAGATCTTTCATAGCAGTCTCCCCCAAAAATATTTTAGCACTAATGAAATCCATCTTATCTTGGTCAACTCATAGTCATATTCCCAAAGACTTCCTTCTTTGGAATAACTGTAATACATTTCTGTATATATTACTTCTGCTTACCATTACAAATCTAATCCTACTGCATTATCTTTTCTAATATTACCATCTTACCTGGATTATTTCTTACCTCTCTAAAGCTGATTTTCTTGTCCTGGTCTTCATCTACTTCTTGGATCATTTCTTTCAAAGCTAGATGCGTCTGTGGTGCTCCTACGTTCTCCATCATCCTTTTCAGCTCTTCAAAATCAATGAAACCGTCTGCTCCAATGTCATACCTATATGTTATCATTTACAACTAGTTACTTTTTATAAAATATTATAATCAAACATCATAAAACAACATCATGTCTAGCCTTAATGTATACCGAACTATTATTAAATCAATCACATTTACAAACACACATACTGTTCAGTTTAACAGCAACTGATTACTTGAAACAAGAATATATGCGAGACTGAAAGAGTATCACATCCACGCGGACAAATCTTCCATACTGAGAAATCTTCTTTACAGTTTTTAGTAACAAGACAAGACGAAATGGCTCCGTAGGTCATTCGAGTGCTTATATATTACATAATTAAGAATTTGTGTATATCACTTAAAATATATGCCACTCGTAAACTAATAGACAAATCTGTTATATAATTAAACGTGTATTTGAATATTTTAAGCAAGTGAACATTATAGCAGCGACATCTGGTGACACACCAGGTACTGTAAATTTCTGATGACATATTCTGTTTCCTCTTCTTAAATATTAAAATACAATGAACAGAAACTATTATATATACACAGTTCACTCCTTAATAGTATTGGAAAAATAAACTAAAAATGTTATCAAGGGTTAAATAAAAGCTTTACGCTATGTAAAAGTCTACCTGTACGTTTAAATAATCAAAATTTATGCTTAGAAATTATCTGTCGTGTAGATTATTTTCTAAATACTTTTATAATCGTTTATAAAATGAACTTTACTATTGTGCCATCAGCTGAGAGATGAAACTTGAAACAGTATTTGCATTCACGGCCATTATCTGACGTCCAGCATTAAATGAACAAACAGAACTTATCCAAAGTTCAAAATTAGTTTCACTGTCCGAATTATTTCTTGAGGATACAGCTTAATAAGTTTATCCCCAGCTCATTGATTACACTATTTTCTTTACGTTGCCAATTTAAAGCGTGGAAATAACTCACCAAAAGAAAAGAAAAGACAAAACTTCTGACGTAGCATTAACGAATTTTCAGTAAAAAAAAGAAGAAATATATATATATATATATATCTTATGTTTTTAAATATTCCGTAGGACAACCTCTGAAAATGAACAGGCCTCAAATACTTTGTTTGCATTAACACAAATCTCGCATCGGGCTAATTTTCTCCGTTAAAGGATCGAACCCTGAATTCTAACGTTATGTTCTCAGGCTTACCGCTGAACCTTCGAATGGCAAATGTAGCAAAACAACAACAACAACTCAGCAGATAAAGTGTGCAATTCACATACTAACACTTTTGAAATATTCGATACTTTAAAACAGCTCGTATACGCATGTGTATATTTCCAAGTTCTACACAAGATGAAAACATCTAACTTGTGATTTTATGCAAAATTTAAAAGTTAAGATTTCGTCAATATGTTGCCACCCATTTTCTTCGTTAGTTTACTCAGACCTGAACTTTGTACCATATGTTGAAATCTTCCTGTCAATCAATGACAATAATAATAATAAAAGTTTGTATTAGACATGAACATTTCACAATTACTTGTATTTCAAAACTGAGTGAAAAACAACTTCAGGCTGGAATGATGTGTTTTTTGTTTTTTTTAATGGCTGATTCTAGTCAAACTGCATGATTATTCCGATGTATAATCGTATACATAAAGTTACTGATTTTCGATGGACAGGGAGAGGAAGAGGCGTTTCGGTCTATAACAGATTCATAAGTTGTGTTAAAAGCGTTTCAAAATGTCCACCCTGTGACACTGACAGACTTGTAAATTTTACGTAGATTTCAAAATGTAAAAATCAATGTATACATGATGATGTCACCTGTAAATGTTTTATTTTCATCCTTCGATATGATTGCAGTGAATGATGCTGCGTGATACATAACTTATGAACTGTGGTACGTCTTATCATTTTAATCTGTTAATAAACGCAAATACAAGTTAGACTATGTAAGGTTATCATTGGCATAGTTGTTATAATAAATATTACATGAACAGCGTTTATCCACAGAATAACCAATCGTTTGATAAGTTTCGTACAGATTGATTATGCGACGTAACAATATCCTGGCAATAGGTCCTCTCGCCCAATGAGTGGTACGAACTACGTGATGTAACAATATCCTGGCGATAGGTCCTCTCGCCCAATGAGTGGTACGAACTACGTGATGTAACAATATCCTGGCGATAATTTCTCTTACCCAATGAGTGATATGAACAGGATGTAACACCAAAAGAACATTTAGAATATCGGTACGGCCGATGTTAAAATAAAAACGTTCACGAGCTGTGATAATATATTCAAGTCACATGGAGCGACTTTCAGTCACATAGAATGATCGATTTATTTCCACTAATCTTGCTTTGTCATTAATGGCTATTCAAATTCGAATAACTAAAACAAGTTGAACACTTTTCAAATGACTGCTAGGCTGTGTAACACAAGATAAGTGACGTGTTTGTTCCTAACTTTATATACCGTCACTGGCTTACTCTGAACATTGAAGTTGTTTACAACGTTATTACTGAATCCTGATTGTCGTGCTATTAGAATTTCGGAGAAACTGTATTCATACTAATATAGTCTTAACATTATTACACTGCTCCTACACTTCTTGTTACAGAAATATATCTGACATTACTCTGGTGTCCTTAAGTCACCACCCTCACCCACCTCGATGACTGAACTGTAAGCTTGAGGACATATAACGCTAAAAATAGGACTTCGATGCTCGCGGTGAGAAAAGCGCAAGCAGACAATTGTGTAGTTTGAGCTCTAAACACAAACAAGTACAAAGCCATTAGAGGTTTTGCTAGAGTAATATTTAATCTTATCCTACTGTTCTTGGGCCCGGCATGGGCAGGTGGTTATGGCGCTCTAGTCGCAATCTGAGGGTCGCGGATTCGAATCCCTCTCCCACCAAACATGCTCGCCGTTTCAGCCGTGGGGACGTTAAAATGTGACAGTCAATCCCTCTATTCGTTGGTAAAAGAGTAGCCCAAGAGTTGGCGGTGGGTGGTGATGACTAGCTGCATTCCCTCTAGTCTTACACTGCTAAATTAGGGACGGCTAGCGCAGATAGCCCTCGTGTAGCTAAAACTAATGAATGCATCTCGAGGAACAAAAAGGAATATCAAAAGTGATGTCAGCATGCATATAGAAAATAAAACCACATCTGTTTGTTTGTTTATTGTTAAGTAAAATCACAAAATGGGCTATCTGTGCTGTGCCCATCACGGTTATCGAAACCCGGTTTTTAGCGTTACAAGTCTTCAAACATACCGCTCATCCATTGGGGAGCAAGTGGTCGAAAAATTAAATTGACTGCCAGTGCCAGACGAGCATTAGCTCAAGTAGTGAGATGGAAACAAAAACTAGAACGTCAAGTGTGATACAGAACATAACGTTAGCCTTTAACAGACAGTCTCTGTCAAAACAACTCGAAGGAAACTGTACAAAATGGGTTACCGTGTTAGGCCTGCCATTCAGAATCCTCCAATAACATATGAAATGGAGAAGCCGAGCAAAATGGTTTCAAAAACAACAAAAATTTACTGAAGACCAATGGATGAATATGGTTTGGTCAGAAGAATAATATTTTACACTTTTCCCATCCAACGGACGTGTTCATGCGAGATAGAAATCAAAGCAACTTTGAAGGTTTTATGTCATCATTTAAACATGGTGGAGGTTCTGTAATGACATTGGTTCGAATAGTTTAGTGCCTGTGATCTCACTGAAAGGGGGAGTGACAGCAAACCTTATTGCAGACCATGTTTTCACCCTATTGTGAACACTTTATTCCTAAATGGAGTTGGTCTGTTTGAAGAATGTAATGCACCAATTCATACTCCTGGAATTGTTAAAAATTGGATCAAAGAACATGAAGAAGAGTTTGGGCACTTAACTTGGACACTACAGTCACTAGATTTAATGTTATAGAGTCTTCGTGATCAGTTCTTGGAATCAGCCTTTGAAGCAAGCAAGTCTCCACATCTAACAATATTTCAACAACTAGAAAAAAACCTAATTTAATGAATAGGCAAAAATATCTTTATCTAATGCACAACATCTTGTTTTATCAATTCCATGTCATGTTAGTCCCGTATTTTCCGTTTATGAGGACTGTATATAGTTAATTAAATTGTAGAAATTAACATCATTTTACATTACTTTGTCCAACTCCTCTGTGTAGTAACGTCAATCCGCGTGTTCGTTAGTTATTTGCAGTTACTGCAGCAAAAAGGATAAATGAAAGTTTATACCTTTGAGAAAACTGCATTAACTTCACTTTATTAGATAAATATCTAAATCGTGTAGTTAGATTACAAAAAATACTATTTCATTTGTAAATGTTCAATCTTAGGAACATTACAAAACTTTTTTTTCTTTTCCATCTTATATTTTGGTTTACGTTAGTGTCATACAAACAAACTAAAACTGACACCAGCCAGTTTGAAATAAAGTTTAAATCTAATTTATTCATACGTATTTCACAAGATTTGTACTTCATCCTTTTTTTTAGGGAAATAATTGATCTTGAAAATTCCTGTGCAGAATGCAATGCTTAATTTATCTTGTAGTGTCTTTCACAACAATGTACTGGATTTGTGTTTATCGCAGTATTATCTAAACCGATACCAATAGCTAACAAAACAAACGCTGACTAACATTGTTTAAAAGCGCAAAGTACGCGGTAAAAGGACCGTTTTGTTGAATAAAATGGTTTTTATCTCTAATGCATGTCTTTACTCAAAGTATTTTCTGGTACGAAGATCAAGCTTCATGTACCTGTCTACAATGCGGTCCGTGCGAATTTGAAGATTATGTAGAGGGAAAGACCTCGTCAGAACAAAAAAATACGGTCGAGAAGCTGTCGTGTTTACTTTTATTAGGCCAGTAAAGAGAGATTTCTATAAAAAAAATATTATTCTTATTTGATAACTGTACCATAGTTTAGCAAAAAAGCAAAAGAAAATTATAAAATGGATATAGACAGGATTGAATCATTGACCTCCCACATTTGAAACATGTGTTCCATTT